AGAGAGAGAGAGAGAGAGAGAGAGAGAGAGAGAGAGAGGTTACTGTAAACAAACAGTTGAACAATGTTGCCAGTGCTCTTAAGTTTTTTATAACACTGCAGGAAACTTTCCCCAAAATTTGGAGCACTTTTCACATTGGCCCTCCTCCTTAATTTGTGCTCAAGAAAGCCAGAGATCGCTCGGCTAATTTGCATCTCCGGTGAAAAATGCTTTAAATGCACAAAATACATTTCGTTAAGATTTTATTTACCTGACACGGAGTAACAGCTCCTTGGAAACCATTAGAGTCTATTGTGTAAATCTTTTCTCTGTTTGGGGATTAGGGGCCGCGTGAATGGGTAATAGCTCTTTTGGAACCGTTGCCTTCTCTTGCACTAAGGGGGGGGGCTTCTTGGTACCCACTACAGAGTGATATGTTGCAATTAGCGGTGGCATTTGCATTGAAATGGATTCGTTGCCAGGTGTTGGAAACGTCTTTTCTAAACCAAACAACCAGAGTTATTGTTTGGGGGGGGAGAGGTCCTCCCCCACCCAGTGCTTACATTTGTTAGTTTTTAAATCACAGGCTTGTGGTGTTTCATTTAACAATAAGAAAGGACTCATTTCAAAGTTATCAGCAGGGATGCAGTGGGGATTATTTTTATTTTATAGGGGGCCACTTTGGTATAGGGGTTACGTGCATGGACTCTAATCTGGGAGAACAAAGTGTGATTCCCCACTCCTCCACACGCAGCTGCTGGTGTGACCTTGGGTCAGTTACAAGTTATTTCAGAGCTGTTCTCTCAAGGGCAGTCCTCGAAGGAGCTCTCTCAGCTCCACCTACCTCACAGGGTGTTCTGTTGGGGGGAGGGGGAAGGGAAAGGTGTTTGTAAGCCACTCTGAGACTCCGAGTGAAGGGCAGGGTATAAATCCAATCTCTTCCTCCTCCTCCTCCTCCTCCTCCTCTTCTTCTTCTGTAGTCGGCGCTCAGTTTGGCAAAAGTACAGCTCCAAAAGATCATTCCTGCCGCAAAGTCAGGCCTTTGCCCTTTGCTGGTTTTTTGGCCCACAGCCTCCATAGTCAGGGGTAGTATGCCTCGGAGTACCGAATGCTGATGACTGTATTTATTTAGGTATTTGTTTATTTAGGTATTTAGTTAGATCAAGTGTTTATAGAAAGTGGGTGGGGCCAGATGGGGCTTTTGCCCAGCAAGGCATCTAATTGGCCACTGACGATTTGATTGGCTGCGCAGCCTTTTAGAAACCTTGCTTGGGCAGCAGCTGCCACCACAGCACAGGGATCTTCACTGTGTGACTGAAAGTGGGCCACGGCAGCCATTTTGTGGCTTGCTCCGCTTCCTGTGGCAGCCATTTTGTGGCTGCACCCACCACATTGTGTCAGAATTCCAAAAGTGCCCACAGGCTCCAAAAGGTCGGAACCCCTGATTTATATACTTATATCTATTTGATATACTTATATCTACTTTTGTCCCCAGTGGTGACCCAGGGGTCCACCAGTGGGGCCAGAGCCCCAGAAACCCTCCCAATTGTTCCCCACTGTTGCCCCCCAAGCACCAAATTCTGGGAGTCTCCTGAAACCTGCAGGTTAATTAAGTAAATAAACCACTCTGCGGTGGATAGTAGTAGTTAGTAGATCGTGAATTTAAGGCTGGTGGTTCAGAGGATGTGAGAGGGGAATCTGCATTGCTCTACCAACCACCCAAAATTGTCCCCATCCCACAATTCTCCATTGGCGAACACAAAAGGGCCTAACTGAAGGTCATTCCAAGGCGCCATGCTGCATTTCCTTCAACCAGAGCATCTCCTCTTTCAATCCACAAGAAGAGATCTTCGACAAATCTCATTTGTGTGAGCAGGGCTATTTTTGGGCAGGAACGCACAGGAACGGAGTTCCGGCTGGCTCCCAAGTTGGCCACGCCTAGCAGAAAGTCATTGGCATAATAGGCCACACCCAGCAGCCAAAACTCATTAGGATTGGCTACATTAGGGGTGTGTGGCCTAACATGCAAAGGAGTTCCTGCTACAAAAAAAGCCCTGGGTTTTGACAACAAACAAGGTATTTCTGGTATTTCTGGCCACTGTGTGATACAGAGTGTTGGACTGGATGGGCCTTTGGCCTGATCCAACAGTGGCATCTCTTAGGTTCTTATGTTCTTAAGGTAAGCAGAATAAGAAGCAAAAGGTGGGTGTGGCTGGATGAGCACACTTCTGGTAACATGGGGGTGTGGCCAATGAGCTGTGCTGTCATGGGTGTGGCCTAATATGCTAATGAGTTCCTGCTGTTGGGTGTGGCCTAATGCTAATGAGTTCCTGCTGGACTTTATCTACAAAAAGAGCCCTGTGTGTGAGTTGCAGTGCTGTCAAGTTGCAGCTGAACTATGGTGGCCCGGAAGGGTTTTCAAGACCTTCCTCTGCATAGCCATGGTGGAATTCCTTGGTGGTTTCCCATCCAAACACTAACCAGGGCCGATCCTGCTTAGCATCTGAGATCTGATGAGATTGGGCTAGCCTGGGCCATTCAGGCTAAGATCTGTAGGCCCTTCTTTTTACATTTATTGGGGCTTTTGTGGGTTCCCCAGTAAATCGACTGCTTTCGCTGCTAGGAATCAATTGCTTTTGTTTGTATTTTGAGTCAAAAAATAATATTCTTAATTAGGTTTGTCTGTGTCCTTTATAAAGTTAATATCTCCAGTACCTGGCATTACATTTTATGGTGCACACGGCCCGGCACGACCAAGTGACATCTATATCAGATCTGGCCCTCATGACAGATGAGTTCGACACCTCCACGCTAGCCACCTTGGTGGCCCTGATGAGAGAAAAATGGGGCATAAACTTTGTAAGCAAAAGAAATCATCCCCCTCCAGAACAAGCCGACTCCTCAGTCCTGGAGCAGCACTTTCCGTTGACCGATGGCACCTCCATCGAGTCTGGACTGAGTTCCAGTTTATTCGTCTTCCTCTTCCCAATTACCTTCTCTGGGCGTTTGCTCAGGGCTTCCGCAGACTCCGCTGCCGGGAAGAAATAAAACCAACCATCGCCACACATTGGTGGTCTCTCGCTCCAAATCCCCCGATGCCTAATTAATTCCGGCTTCAGAACCTGAGTTATTTTTTTCGGGGGGGGGAAGAGTGTAGAATCAGGCAGCAGCCCTCCATACGCACAGCCCTCAGCGACTTGCTCAGCACCCTCTGCTATCAGCCCTCCTTGAATCGCTAGCCTTAGGCAAAGAGGAGTTGTGAGAAACAGAAGAGGCAAAGAACAGCCTCTTGTGTTCATCTCACCTGCTTCGTGTTTGCCCGCCTGGGTGGGTTTGTTCTTGTACCAGGTGCTGAGCTCAGGCCGTGTAGCACCAGGTGGGAAGAAAATGCCAGCCTACCGTGCTGGTGTTATCAGACAGATACCTGTCAGTAGGTTTACTGGTTGCCCGGCCAATGTTCCCTCTAAGCTGAGTCAGTGTGAGCTAGCTCACAGTTTTTTAGCCTCTGGCTCACGCATTTTTGTCTTGGCTCAGGAAGGAGGGCTCCAGAGCAAACTGATTTATGCAGCAGCCAAACTGCTTGCTCACAACTTTCATGCCAGCAGCTCACAGAGTAGAATTTTTGCTCACCAGACTCCACAGCTTAGAGGGAAACTTGTAATGCCCGCCCATGGTGGCCAGCCCCCTGCCCCCGTGCTCACTTGATGGAGCAGCGGGATGAAGAGAGGAAGGTGGGAAACAATGG